ATACAGCAAATCTAAGTATGCTGAATAACAAGTCAAATTCACCCATGAGTACGATGATGTACAATTACATCCCGACGAGATTGCTTGTGAGATATTGAAGAAATGTAAAATGGTTTCCGTGTTTACATAGCCTGATGTAAACACTTGGGAGGTTGGGAGAACACTCGATAAGCGTAGGAAACCACTACGCTGATGTTCAACTGCTACAATGTCAATATGGTTTTCTTCTCGAGCTTGAGGCAGCTGATTTTCGTGTCTTTTGTCTATTTCAAGCGTTAGCTTAACCTCAAAATCGAGCTTTTCCTTAAAATCATGTTACTGAAATGGCAGTTATGGGAGCTTTAGCAATGATTTGACTTCTCAGTAGTGCTCTGACAAGAGTCTCACCTGGCGCGATCATTTATTCCCTTTAGAAACTTTATCGACGACTGTCTTGTTTGGAGAACTCGACAGTGCTGCCTGATGGAGACAAGAAAAGGGTACGAGAAATTCTGTCTTCCCCAGACGCGTTACACTATATGTCGTCGGAGGAAAGCTACGAAGACGAAGCAGTAGAACCAAGGAGTGGCCCAGAACCACGAAAGATCAGAAAGCTTTTATGGAAGAAGAGCAAACTGAGGAATATTGAAGAGAAACTGGATGAGGCGTATTTGGCTGGACTAACTGAGAAGCAACGGTTTACAAGTGCACGTGTGAACCGGACTGAGGATGAATCACCCAACTAACGGCCCTCGTTGGACTGTACGCAGCGACTAATTCAATAAATTTCCAGAACATTTGAAATTTTATACATACCAGCTGTAATTTTTTTTTTAATGTTCATTTGCTAAGAATGTTATGTTCAAATGACGAGGACGACAAGCGAATATATACGTACTTTTTAAATAAAAAAAAAATTATTTGTCACTGGTCGATCGATTGAAGAAAAGGAAAATAATAAAATAAATTGATTGAAGCTGTGAAAAAAATATAGCTCTTGTATTTGTGTGATTTTACAGAGTGGAGCATAGATTTCGCAAACGGACGGTAAAAGTCTGGTATGGGTTGTATAAAACCGCACGATCACAACATATTTACCTGTCCTGTAATGAAAGAGGAAAATCAAGAATAACGAGTACTGAAAGAGTCCGATATATAGAGAAAACAAAAAAAAAAGTGTTTCTGGAACAAAACCTAGTGTTTCAGTCCCCTCTAGGTCTGAATACGTCAGCAGAAACAAGGGAAAAATCTGTTTCCGAAAAGTAACCTAGTATTTCCGTCGAAAGCTATATCATGGTTCAACCAGGAAAATGACACTGACATTACACTTTCAAGTAAACTAATAACTTATTTAACGACATCCCACGTTTAACTCACCAAACCGATTACCCAAGGCGCAGACTACATCTTTTCGTCATTATTCTAAAAGAATACTTTTACAATTCTAAATGTTTAGAAAAGAAACCAAACACGCTATACTACAATGGCAAAGAGAGAAATGCGCTCTTCCCTAAGTTATAGATTTCCCCGCGAAGCCTTTTTTTTCTGATTTAACCAGCCAGTTGAAACAGACACACTAAATCAGAGCTCAAAATCTTATCTTTTTTTTCTACCAGCACTGTCTCTTAATTTACTCTGTAGTGTTCGTACAAAGTAACTAAGGTGCCGTTTTGTAAAGTACTCAAGTAATTATAAGTAGGCAAGTGAGCTTAATTAACGAATTGCGAGTTTTGTATTGTAATGTATTGTAAGTCATGTTCTGTTTAGTAATCAATGTAAGTAACAATGATCACGCTGTAAGTGACTGTTAGTAAGTGACCGTTAGTATAAGTAAGAAATACGTATTGGTGACTAATCCAATAAGTACAGTAATGTAATAAGTGGAGTGATGTCGAGTAATGTAAGTAGAGTAATGTAATGTAAGTTTAGTTCTGTACAAATGTTTCTTCAATAAATGTTTATGAAATCAATTAAAAAAATTATATCGAAAACCACATGTAAACCCCCCTTTTTTCAGGCTAACCACCAAATTTAAGCCATTGAAGTTCAATGGTGCTTTCATATTTTATTCTATTCCATTTTTTCCAATTTTTGCACAAAAAAAAAACAACAACGACAACAACAACAAATTAAGTGAACTACACACCTGCCTCTAAAAATCAGAATAAAGAGTTAGATTTCATTTCCGGTTTTTATGAAATGCTACAATTGGAAGTTTTTGGATCCCCCTCCCCTCTTGGTCTCCCCATAACCCCTACACCCCTGCATCCCTCCACTCAACATCCCCTCTCGTAAACAGAGTTCATGTAAGACGCCCCTCTGACTTTAGACTTACCTTTACCAACACCGTAGCTGTAATACAGAACAAAGCTAGTTGTTGTTTCCACTTCGTGTTCGTGCAGTGGCTTCTCGGCTGATTTTACTTCGGCACAAGACTGAAAGTCTTAGAGATGACATAGTTCGAAGATACACGAAGGAGCTAACACCAAGATAGAGGTAATCTTGGGGAAAATTACCCTCTAAAAAATTGATTCGATTTCATTTTCCCGCACTTCTTGCTATGTACTGACTGAGTTTGCGCGCCTGGATTGCGTAATTATTTCGCTCGTGATCCGCTTGATTTCAGTTTCCGGCCCAAGGAATACGGCCCTTGAAAAAGAATCCAGCTTCATAACGCGCGCGTGATCGATATCGGTGCCATTGAGTCACACTCATTCGACACATTCGTAAGTTTCACACATAGTTTACTCTGAATGGAACGTTACTCCGAAAGGAAAGTTTCTACAATTCATGCAAATGTTCCAAGTGTATAGGTTAGATCGAGTTTTCTTCCATAAATTGCACTATCCGTCATGTTGTTTAGGCAATTTTGCCGACTACGGCCGACAATTTCACGAGGGTGATCGTGACACTCGGTCCCAGTCTCAAAGCGAAGAGGGGCCTTTTCTTCTATCCTTTCAGGGGAGTTTTGTAAGATTTAGGCGCAACCTGCCTCATTGACGCATCAGCGAAGGTCTGATAAGATGGTGTCTTTCCGTGATTATGAAATTTACTTACTCTTTCTTCTGCTGGTAAAGTTTCACGGGTCAGGTAATTGTGAAATTTATTCTCCTGCAAAGGATGTTACAGTGTTTTTTACCAAGTGCTATTTTAAGCTTAGAAACCGAAAACGCCGACCCTTAATTTCTGAACGTGATGTTTGTCAAATGTATTGATGTATTTTAAATTTAAGATATGATGTTGGAATTTCAATGACGTGATAAATGAAGTCTGGATAACTATGATGCGATAGAAATCAACACGTTCACATACTTTCAGAATATAACATCAACATTCAAACTAAGAAGTGCACTATAATCTTGATTAGTGTGAGTCGTCTTCTTAGCCATGAGAAAAGTTCCTGCTTTGTCAGGTGGCTTTCCATTACAAACATGATGGCTGTGGAAAACCAGGAAAGAGTTGCCATCTGTACCTAAACTCTCTTCCTTGCCATCCATTACTCATCATAGGGAAGAGTTGTTAACAATTTTCCACTCATTATTGGTTCAAAGAATGACCTCAGCAAGAATAATTTCTGCTAGCTAAGTTGAGTGTGATTTTTCCTCCAGGTAGCAATCATGTAAAGAAACTACATAATGCACTTGGTTGGATAATTGAGCTTTTCTTTGCTCAATTACCTACATGTGTGAATTGTTTATTGAATTGACCAGTTTTAAGCTTTATGCACATAAGGTTGTGGTATCCCACACCGTCAACCATGGGCTACTTATTTTTGTTGTATATTTAGAAAAAGGTAAAGTTTTACCAAGACTAAAGTTTTTGAAATGTGTGTATATATGTGGGCTTATAATATACGTACTGAGATTTACTCCAAGCTAAATTTGGAAAAAAAATTGATTTGTAATGAGCTGCACAAATTCTGATATGTCAGATGGTCTTCCTCACAAGTGAGAAATGAGCATCTGACCAATCACAAATCATAGATGAAATTTTTGACCAGTAAAAACAATAGTATGGGTTTTTTTGCCTTTGTGGTGTGGGGGCTTGCCAAAGTGAATGAAAGTGAATGGCAGCAATGTTTGCTGGGTGCGTACAACTGTAGGATCATGACTTCAAGGTTAAAAACAAGAAGTCAGCTGTTGGTGTAAACAAGTTAAATTAATTTATGAAGATAACATCAGAGAAAGCTGGATTTCATGAAAATTGGTGAAAGTCTTTCTGATTTCACCTCATGCAAACTGATCACAATCTTTGTCAAAATCTTTGCTTGATCAATTCCTAACATTCAAAATCTGAGGAACTAAAGTAGAATCCCCTCCAAAATGGTACAAAACACTTAAATTTCTAGATTCTGACTCTGATAAGAAAGCATTATGGTCCACACATGACATGATTGATCATTGCATTGTTTTTGCTGTTGTTGTTGTTTTAACTTGTGTTATGTGAAGACTTCAATGATTAAATACCATTAGTATAATTGCTCAGGTGATTATAGAGATGCGCAATCCCTTATTGGTCAAGGATTGCATCATATCTCGCTAAAATCACCATGTGCAGGTGATTATAACAAGAGCACTAAATTTCAAAATGGCTGCTTTGCATTTTGTCAAATATCTGTGAGGAAGGGATAAAAGCAATAGTAGAAAATTAAACTGTTAAGAGCACAAAAGATATTAAATGATCACTTTATTTCGAGCTGATTGATATCAGTGAATACCAATATAGTGCATATTTACTCTTAATGTTGTTACTGTTTACTCTAAAAGTGCCTTTGTGGTGAACTCTATTTTAAGCCCTTTTTCCTAAATATTATCCTTACACATGTAATTAAAGGGCTGAGAATATAATGTTTATGGTTGTCTATTTTAGGGGGTGTGGATGTGGGTTTCACCCAGGAACCTTCAAATCCAAGCTACTTTAACAATGGTAGTAATGCCAACCTGGTGTGGGACTACACTGATCCACATAATAAGACTCAGGGCATTGTCTACAGTGTTCTAGTAAATAGTGCATTTGTCAAAATGATTTTTAAGGACAGTCGTGGTGTGCAAGAACATCCCTCTATCCCTTCATCTTATAAAGGAAGAGTTAAAATTGAAGGAAGAGCTACCCTGGTTATCAAGAACATCAACCCTGGAGATAATACCAAATTTAAATGTGAAATGTGGGGAAGGCATGTTCAAAGTATAGTTCAGCTTATTGTGGCAGGTACGTATTAGAGACATAACCATTAATAATCAAACGTAAATCAAATTCATTAAACTCAGGTCTCATATTTCTGAGATCTGGAAAAAGTAAACAATAGCATATAAATTTGCACAAACCTCCCTATGCAGGGCTTAAAGTGGCCAGCTAACCCGACTTTTTGGAACAATAGTGCTACCGTAATTTCCGGTCGATTACCCGCGGGTAATCTGTTGATTTTGCATTAAATCCGCGCCACTGCGGGTAATAGGGAGGTGCGGGTTATGTGACAATTTTAAATTCTTCTGGAAGTTGAATTGAAAAAATTTCTCACCTACCTGCGTTTCCACCTCTCAAATGAATTTTATTGTATCAAAAGTGCCACAAAGCGGCACGAAAACATGATGACAACTCGAGTTTATTTCACGCTTAATTAGTTGCGTGACAAACAAATTTTTATCGGCACGCGTGAAAACAAAACCTTGATGGTGACAAAAATAATCCAAGGATATCCGGCGCATCAGTAACAAATTTCCAGTTTTCACTAGCTTGAGCTAAAGAGAATTTTCCCGTTTTAAGGGACTTGTTAGGCCCAGTAGAACAGGAGATATCGATTTTTTTGAGAAATTGCCGACAGTAATTTTAAATCCCAAATGCATCACCAGAATGTTGAAAATAATAGGTGCGAAACTTAACTAATTTCGCGCTGAAAAAGTATTTTAACGACAAATGAACAATGGATATTGCTCATTACGCTCCTACATGCTATAAAAAGGTAACTGACTGAATAAGAATTATAAACCTCGATCATTCGCGATAAGTGTATCTACGAGTCACCAATTAAGTTAAAATGCCTGCTGTGAAACGCCCACGTCACAGTTTTACGTTTGATTATAAGCTTAGAGTAATAACTCTTGCCGATGAAATCGGTAATAGAGCAGCAGCAATAATCAATCAATAAAGTATAAGCTAATATTGACACAGAATTGTGCACATGTCTGAATCGAAAGACTGAAATGTATCGCCTTAATGTCACGTTTTCGCCACCGAAAAAGTTGAATAACAACGTGCGGGTTATCCACCGGTGCGGGTAATCCGTTGACTTTTTTTTTCGCCGTATGCAATAATCGGCCGGTGCGGGTAATCGGCCGTGCGGGTAATCGACCGGAAATTACGGTACTTTTATATGGCATGCGACGCTCAACAAAAGGAGAAAATAAATTCTACCGTTTACTTTGTTGTAAATCTCACGAGAAAGAATTCAAAGAGTTATTGCTTCATTCTTCTGGCACCAACTACTGGGTTGCTCTGTTATGCATAGATAACTATTACTAATATGAATACTAAGATTTTCTCTTAGCAAAGCTGTCAATTAAAAATGGCCAGTCAAAATTAGAAACAATCCAACTAGTTCTATGATTTTGCTAAATCAGTGAAGGAGAATATTGCATGACCAATCACAAGCAGCATGTGAAATTAATTTGGTGTGGAAAAAATGGCATTGCTTTTCAAGCCTTTTAAAGGGACTTGCCAAAGGGACTTGCTAAAGGGAATGAAAGTCGACATTAAGCCTTTCGCTGCTTTCTGAGTATTATGATCTTCAAGGTTTACAGATAAATTTAGTCAACAGAACGGTGACTTCCTCAAGTAAGTTCTGAGACTAAGGAGCAATCCGAGACTTAGATTTGATTTATGCGCTGGAGCAAAATTCTCCTAAAAGTTATGGAAGCAACAAATCAACAAAGTCTATAATCCAAGCTCTTTATGCTCTTTGAAATACTTTCGGCATGCAAACAGAAAATAATGCAATGATGATCAACTTGGCAAGGTAGGGATGCTGTTCCTAGAAGATGCTGTTACTCATGGAGGTCAGTTCAACAGCTCTAATTTTATTGCTAATTTTGGTTTCTCCACCGAGAAACTGGCTGAGTTTCGCAAAGAGCTCCAAGAGACTAAAAGTATTCCATTTCAATTTAGCGTATGAATCATTTTTTTGAGCTTATGCAACCTAAACTTTTCAAGAAATTTTCGTGTATGAAACAGAAGCGTAGTTTTCTTTGAACAGACTCTTTAATTTTCTCTCTGAGTGTTTCAACTTACATTTTCGAACACAGTATCTTAGATGTCCTAACAATGTTAAGTACATGGAAACAAGTGTGATATTAAGTATGTAACTTCTTGGTCATTTAACTGATTCAAAGTTGAAAACATTTGTGATATCTCAATCATGATACTAAAAAAAAGCCTATTTAAAAACCTTTGCACGAATTCGGTCCGACTGCACATTGAGAGCAGGTCTCAGTTCTTGAATAAAAAAACATTTCATGAGGTAGGCAGTCCAGTTTGTTCGAACTCTTCTTTAAAACACTAAAATCAAGGCCAAAGAGTGCTTGTTGCGAAAATGCCTGCCAATCGATTGAGTCGATTTTCTGTGTTCTTGAATATGTTGATGTAGATGCATGGCGGCGTGTAAAACCAACATAACCTGCATCGTACAGGTCACATTTAATGTTGTAAAAAACGGTCGTGTGGCAAAAGACGGATTTGCTTTGGGCTCCCCCTTGATCCTCTATTGGCCTTTTTTTTTTATATCAGCATTGAGGATACTCATAACATCGATAAATTAAGTGAATTTCATGTCTTTATAACGCGCGGTGTTTATGAATCATTAATTAATCCCGTTTGTATTTGAGGTGGTGTGAACTGTAACTTGAGCAAAATTTTGATTCCGTCGATACCTGTCCTATAGAAACGGAACACATCGCTGTCTTCATCTCGAAATTTGAACATCGTCTATCGGTCGTGAGAACGGTTTTAACGGTCAGCGATTCGAAGCTTTTGATGTATAAGGTTGAAACTGAATACAAATGTTACGCGCGACATTTCAGGAAATGCTGCTTTCATAAGAGCAGTTTTGCTTCGTTCGTACTTTTTATTCACGCATAGCGTTATGTGATAATGATTCGCCCCAGGTGCGGTAATCCGGATTCCGGAATCCAGCAAATTTTTGCTTGTGGAATCCGGAACACTGGGCATTGGAATCCAGAATCCCACTGAAATCCATTTGCTGAAAATCCATATCATCCGTATCAACGGTTTTCATGCGCATCCATGCAACCACGGTCATGCTGCAGACTACGCAGACCGTGCAGACCATATATAGAACGCGCTTTGTACGCTGGAGAATCTTGACTATTACAGCTCCCGAGACACTGACAAAATCATCATGACCTATCCCCCAATCGACTTCGATACTGACATAGCTAAAGTTCCTTACTAGTTATTAATGAGTCTTCTGCTCCGATTCAAAAACCTTATTTCCCAATAAAGTTCGGGCTAATCCCCATGAGCTCCAGAAACTTGAGCCTGCGATTTTGTTTTGTTAGGTAACGAGAGCTCGAAATAACCTCGTAAAATTTCGTCATTTGGTGTCCAAAAGAGTGCAGTCCACTCACGTGGTCAATAGGTATGCAAATTTGGAGTGACAAAAGTAATTATTTACATAACAAAAGCGTTAAAATCCCACAGTATTTGCTCGGAACACCAACATGGCGACGGACCACACGTTTCCAATTACGATAAACTTTGAACAAAGTTATATGTGGATACCTAAGGGAGCTGGGAGAGGTCTATTTCTAAGTTGAATTTACGCCATTTAAACGTAAACCGCTTTAAACCGCTGAAGATTTCATAAAGCATCCTATCTCAGAGCGAATGAAATAAGATATTACCTGATTTTAGGGTCGAACAACATTTTCTAGAAAAGAAAGTAGCGGCGGGCCACGTAATGTGACTTGACTTGGTTAACCTTTTAAAGAAAAAAGGAAATATAGAAAAGAGAATCTGTTATTCTTGGAAAATTACCGTGTAAATGCAGATCTTTCGTGATTTTGCAAAGGTTAAAATACAGTTGAGTTGTTTGAACACCGTTTTATGCGCTATATCATCGCCAGTTACATAGAGGAAAACAAGCTTTTTTCAGTCATAGTCTGCAATTATTTGTGACATACACGAGGTGTTATAAAAATTGTATTTCAGTTTAAATTTTTCCTTAATTTGGTCTTTATTTAAAAGGAAAGTTAAAAAAGGTAATTTGAGATGGAATCCGGAATCTGCAGGGGCAGAATCTGGAATCCAGCACCTTGCATGTAGATATGGAGTTTCTCTTCTCGTTTTCAACTTGACATCTCACTCGTTCTCTGCGCTCACTCGTGTGCGATCGAGTTAAACACTCGAAGAGAAATTCCATATCTATGCGAGCCCATGTATTATTCTCTATTTATTTTATTGTAATTGGGTAAATTTTAAAACTCAGTCCAAGTAAAATTTGCTAAGCCATATGAGCAATGATATAATCACTTTTACCTTTCAGAGGCACCACTTATAAACATCTCTTTGGGAGGAAAATATTACATTGAAGGATCCCCTGTTATCATAACCTGTGAAGCTTCTGGGAAACCACTGCCGGATGTAGCATGGATTAGAAATGGAGAACTGGAAAGTTCAGGGAAGAAAGCTGCATTTTTAAAGTTCGATAATATAAACAGAACAGATGCAGGACAATATACATGTCAAGCCAATAACTCAATGGAAGTCACTTCTGTTGACACAACAATTGTAGTTCACTGTAAGTATATTTTAACCTTAATTTTCTATCTCTGAATTTACTTTATTTACAGTGTGAATCCTGTTATTGGGGTTAGTTACACAAAACTGATGAATCTGTTCAAAAGTGTAAGGAAACAGAATTCCACCTCAAATCCTTTTCAGCTTTGTGTGCATCAGTCTCAAGTGCTGGTTGGCACAATTAAATATAGGTGGAAACATTTTTTACGTTATTTTGCTCTGGAGGGCGCGACAATTTTCTCATTAAGTCATTGCTTCAGTTGGACTGTTTTTAACTCAGAAAATGGCTTAAAGCCATTTGTAATTCATTGTCACAACCCAAAATTCACTCTGTTCGCCTAGCGCACAAGGCTATCACATATTCCTATCCCGTGTGAGGGCTCTGGTTGGGGCTTAATGGAAAGCTGAGAATTGCTCAAGATCCTCACTGTAAGCTGCGAAATTACACTTTTTTTAACTGATAGCTGAGATCAGCTGGTAAATGTGAAAATGGGCTGAAATTAAAACTGCATGCCCAAGGTTTTCGCTCATATTTTCATGTGTGGCGTTCGAAGAGATATACTATTTGAGGGCGAGAATCCATTTTATATTTCATTATTCGTAGGCCTTGCCACCATATACTGAATACTCGACTGTCAAATAACACAAAAGTGACGGACTCTACTATGGAGTGATTACAACCTTCATTCTTTGTTTTCATCGAAAGACAGGGAAAGGAAAGACAAATGCTGCGCTCTTGTAATTGATGCCCATGACTTTCTGGTTTAGGAGGTTGTGTAACCTGCAAGCACTGTGCCACCCCGCTCTGTGAGATACTTAATGAATGAGTTGCCAGTAATCGGATCCTTGTGTTTGCGCATAGATTTCTGGGATCGCCACGGGGCAAACATTGCAACTCACTGGAAGGAATTGTATGGCGAAAGGTTTTTCTGACGTCTGAAAAAAAGATTTTAGAGAGAGATTATCGTTTTTTCACTGTTCCTTTATCAGAAGTGGATTAGGGTAATGCTGATTCAAGGGAAGAGTAAGTTTTTGTTTGAAAAACTATGTCATGTGTAGTAAAATCTACCTATGAACTTGTCTCCACGCGCAAGGTTTATTGTGAATTTGACATTGTGTAATGGTTTCGAAATTTATAAAAACCATATGAATCGCCAAGGAATAACTCAACTAAGCCGTGTCAGTTTTTTGTGCGTGAGTTAAGTCTACTTCTAGCTCGGCTTAGTAATACAAAAGAGCGCTATAAAAGCTACTTGAAGCAGCAGGAGATTGAAATGGCGTGCGTGAGCATTAAATGTTACTCTGGTACATTAAAGTGATAAAATACCTACACTTCTTTGTTGTGATCAATGAGAACGAATCAGCGTTGATGATTGGCTCAAGACTGTACCCTTTCTTCTGTGGCGATGAGTGATACAAATTGGTCTCTTAAGGAGCGATGCACAGCTGATGATAAGTCCACAGTTTCTGCCGGAGTTCCCGTGATCTTGCTTTCCTGACAAGATCCTTCAGGGAGTTCGAGAAGAAAAAATTGCGGCTCAAAGACCTTTGGATTTTTCTCAAACAATCTATCACTTGAACTGGGGATTTCCTCATGTTTTTTTCATCGCTCATTTTATCTTTTCAGTGAGCATTAGCTCGGTAAAAATAATTTCCATCTCCGCTGACAACGACTTCTCTCCTTTGAGGAAGTATATTTTAAAACGTAATTTGTCTATTAAATACGTTAGAAAGTATAAAAATAGGCCGTGCATGTATAAATACAACTGAAAATACTTTTAAAAGTGTTATTTCGTAGTGATTTCTGGGTAATTTTGTAGTACTTTGAGACCATTACACGATGACGATTTCAGAATAGACCTTACGTAAGGAGAGAAGTTTTCTGTATTTTTTATAACATATTCCGTGTTAATTCCAGCAAAAACCTTAACTTCCAAGGTAACAACATTATCTTTCACCATGTATGATAAAACTGCTGCGAAAAAGCCATAATCTCTTACCAAAATCGCATTTTTTGGACGTCCAAACAAACCTTTCGCCATACGTTCCTTTATAGCGGGTTACAATATCTGCCACGTGACGATCCCAGAAATCTGTGCGCAAACGCAAGGATCCGATGACTGGCAACTCATTCATTGTTCCGCGTTTACATATGCGCAGGCATTTGACCTCTGTTGTTAGGAGCAGGTAAAAAGCAAGCATGGACGTTGTGCTAATCTTTAGATTTTGAACTCACCCATCAAAATGACACCAGACATGCACACGGTATAAGGTAGGGGCGAACTCGATAGGGGGCGAAAGCGGCGGATACCCTTGGATTATACCACATATATAAAACATTTCCTGTAAAGAAAAAAAACAAGCAAACAAAAACGACGTAAATATCCAGAAATGCCATTTCGCCCAAGCCAATTGCAACGAGAACGCAGCATAAGGGTTTGTTGCTCCCACCAATCACATTTTGGCATCAGGGTTGCACGTACAAGTCTATTGTTACTGATGCTCTGTGACAACCTTTTTAACAAGCCATATTCAATATCTGCCTCTTTACAACAGAAAGTGAGTTAAAACAGTAATTTCCACTACCGCCTCGTGATTTTTGTCGAGAGATGTCAGACCTGCTTCTATTTTTAAGTCCTGGAATGGTCTTACATCTATTGATGTAAGGAATACATGTACTTGCATACTTTGAGCCATGTCATCATACACGTAAATTTGACATTAATGATGATAACTTAATCTACGGACATAATCAAGATTATTACAGAAAATCATATTTCATTAGAAATGCTGAACTTTGGAACTTGTTACTATCTAGTATAAAAACAATCCACTGTTTTTCCTCTGTTAAGACCAGCCTAAACAACATTTATGTTTCAAAACGAGAAACTTATGACCCTCCTGTCTGCTATTGATATATATGTTTTTAATATAATTGCTTGGGTGATTATAGAGATGCACGCACTCTCATTGGTAGAGGAGTGCGTCATATCTCGCTGTAATCACCTTGGGTGAGGTAATTATAGCAGGAGCGCCAAATTTTAAAATGGCTCCCTTACATTTTGTTAATGTCACGCTGCAAGGGACAAATGGGAAAGGAGAAAATTAAATTCTTTAGAGTGGGAAAGATGCTAATAAGCTTGGCGTGACACTTCCAAAAGAAAGATATGAAGCTTTCCATATCTACGCGCGCCCATGTATTATTCTCTATATAATTTGCCGGAAACAAAACTAGAACTTAACGGTTAAATAAAACATGCTGAACTAAATAATTCGAGCCACACCTTGTTTTTTGGATTGAAAATACACTTTTCCCATTGTTTTGGTACTGGAGAGGCAGGACTCTGATTTGCACTTCGAGGCCGATGGATGTTCCCCTTCGCTAACGCACACCTCTTTTTATCAAGTCGTTCATTATTGCTCAAAGACCACGTGGACTTGCAGCCAGTTGTTCCAAAAGAGGGGGGCACTGAAGATTTCCGAGTTTTGACGAATTTGTATGTCTATGAAAACAGAGACTAAAGGTTGCCCTTCCTAGAAATGTAAGTTATGAGCTGTTTTACCATAGTATTCAAGCCTATGTTGCTTAATCTGGCAACTACTGTAAACAGGTATTTATAAATTTCCGGATTTTTTTTTAGTTCTGGAGTGAAATTTCACGATTACTTGTCTTGAAGTCCTTAAATTACGATTATTTATCGCAAATGGCATATCTTCCGATTAATAGCCTCCAGACATCTTCTATCACGATTAATAATTGTGGTAAGTACGGCTATTAATCGCAACTGAACTCATGTGTCTTAAGTCGACATCAACTGAGACGAGTCATTCATTCGACAACATTCTCAACGACCCTCAGTAGTTACTTGCGGAATATTTTCTAAGTGCCTTGCAAATCAACTTCCGGTGTGACAGGTCGACTTTAACTGAGAAGAGTCGGTCGAATCGAGGTGATTTGACAACATCTTCAACCCCCATTTAATAGCTACTTGCGATATTTTCTAAGTGTCTTACAAATTGACTTCCGGTATGCATTTCCATCTAATGAGAGATGGTTTATCAGATTTCCGGTAGAACGATTCGCCAACTGTCTTTAACGAATGGCGGCGGTTTGGGTGTACTGGACAACCCTCATTTTGGTTGTACGATCAAATTTTTCCGACTTGATGGGTTACTGTTGCAACTATTATTTTTTTAATTAGTATAGTCTACGCTGCGTGTTTTCCGCGCTCCGCTATTGAATCAGTGCAAGTCCCATTGATTAATTCAATTTAAAACAGATACCTCACGTTTTAACTTTTTGTGAAGGATTAAAATTAATTACAAACGGTTTTTAGGCCGCATGTCAACCCATTTCGTGACCCACGGCTTTGCTTAAAAAATAGTGCCCAGCTAGCTAAACGAAATTTATTTATGAAGAATGGCAACGAAGGTACGGATGACTCTGCATCTCGCGATAAGTGTTGCTATGCCCTTAGGTAGAGATAGGAAAACACGGACCGCGCTAAGAAACCATCAGATTGCGGGATTCGTTAGCGTGCCCTCTAAGAAAAAAATAAATACACCTTATTCTGGTTGCGAAGTAATTTTTCCGAGCCCTGAGAGGCGAGAGAAAATATGAGTAATGAGCAAAATTTCCGCTCGTATTATGTGTTAAACTCTCGAATAATTGATTTATTATTCCACTGTTATTTTCAGTTATCAGTGTTTTAATTTTAGTATGCGAATAACATCTTACGGCCTTATCTGTGTATCGTATCGATCGTAGAAGGTGTTCTTTCTTGCTTAAAAGTTCGCTACTTTAGCAGTCAAATTTAAAAAATTAAACAAAAAAATTAAAGTTTGGATCGTTCAGGGCGGCCAATGTGTTGCTACGTATTTTTGGCTTGTTCTAAAGTGTAATACTGTGGCATATTTTGCCGTTTTCGTTATTTTGTTTAGTAAAATGACACAGCAGTGGAATGATAAAGATCATTAATGTTCTGATTGATATGAAGTATCACCGATTATTTATTCAATTGCTTATTGTATTGGCATTTATTCTTAGACCCGCCCACGATTCGAAATGTCACCACGTCATCTAAGAAGTCTTGGATTGGCCAGACAGTGACTTTGAAGTGTCTTTCTGATGGTGTTCCTACACCAACACTCTCTTGGTACAAACTTGAAGGAAGTGAAATAAACAGAGTCACAGCCAGAGAAAACAAAGTACAAGTGCCACTCAGGGGTGATCAAGATTTTGGTCATTACAAGTGCATTGCTGCTAATGGACTTATTCCATCTGATGAGAAATTAATAAAGATAACTCAGATAAGTGAGTCAATGAGATCAGTGTATTTATAAGAAGAAGTTCTATATAAGGTCAGCATTTCCTTTTGCCATTGCTCATTATCACTGTTTCAGTTGTATTAGAGGTAAAAGCCAAATGTTCTTACAAAGTATTGAACAGAGTGACTCATTCACTTTGTACATCTCATTCGATAGTTTAACATTTAATACGTGCGGATATTTTGCAAGGCCCATGGGCGTTTGGAAAAAATATATGCTAATGTTAAACCATCGAGTAAGGGATTTATTATTCTTTCATTTACGAACAATTTGTCCGCTTAGTTTTCGACATACATCCTACATCTTTATCTGAGCGTTCCGTTCGCATTTTCCCTCTCACTAGCAGCGTTAGACCTTCACGTATTTTTCGCCTTCGTTGCCCCAATGAGGTATAACAGAATATTACTGGAATTATACCGGATATAGTTAGCCTGATCTTTTAGTTGGAAATGCACCCGTATTTGTGAAAAAGATTTAAAGTAAATTGTCGACACCTTGCCCTTTCTTTGCATTAAACACGTTACAAAAGAGCTTTGAACTTCAGGAAGATGGATGACATCTTCACATGCGAGTATCCATAGGAAACTTCCTCAACCATGGACTATCAATTGTGCCTCTTTTTATGAAGCTCTTAGCTGAACTTATCCGGTAGCTACATTTATATTCATTAATTACAGGTTAACGCACTCAGTGAGTGAACTATGGGGATTTACCTGCACGAGTTCACTGACAATGAACGAGAAATTTCAATAAGCCTCGTGCGGTATTGAACATTCCGAATTCATTGTTTTTGAACGAGTACAGGTAAATCCTGATAATTCACGAGCCATAAGTGCGTTAGCATTTTTATTATTCAAACTGAATACACTGTACAAAGAAACACTGCAGTGAAACCACTATATACAAGGTAAACCAAGCCATGGTGTAATGACAACAGTGTGTTGAATTTGCACCACGGCCATTACAGCACGAAGACGATGTCAAAGAGGTAGTTTCGTCACAATCCAGTATCACGTGGTACAAATCATCTAATCAGAAAATCGGAATTCGAACAGTGTATGAAAGTTGAATAATTAGCTGTGAGAAGACGTGGACTTGCATTCATCCTTAGTGTTGTGACAAAACTCAAAGTAATCTCTTCTCCTATGGCACTATGTAGAGAAACCAGGGAAAGCATCCATCAAATCAGAATCCGTCATTCAAGCAACTTCTATAACAATTCAATGGACTGCACCAGCTGATGATGGAGGAAGTCAGATTATAGGATTCCAAATGATCTTACAAAAGGATGAAACTGAGATAAAAAAGGTTAATATCACCGATCCTGGGACGAGTAGTTATTCGTTTCGTGGTTTGGAGAAAGATACCAACTACACAGTGAAACTGTTTTCCAGAAATTTTGTGTTCTAGGGAGATCCTACTGTATGGAACATTAAGACCAAGTTTGAAGGTGAGGAATCAAAAGTGATATCGTGATTGAGCACTTTACACCAATCATTTTTTCGCCAACTTAGATTTGTTGTGAGTAACCCAGTTTTAACAATGTTATCTGCTTGCCGCATTATAAGATTTTCGATTTTCAGCGTTTGTCCCCTCCTTAATGGCCAGTTATATTTAATTTCTGATGTTCATGTTTCAAAATCTGTAATATGAGTCAGCAACAACAACAGCCGCTGCATAGTGACCTTTAGGATAGTTGGATACATTTTTCCTAAACTCGTACTGGCCATATTCAAAAGGCCCAATAACCAACTATCCCTTTAGGAAGTGAGACAATTTCCACACATCGTTTGACTAAAGAATTGAAGTTTGAAGAAACAGGCCTTTCATGAAAATCGCTTTTAATATGCAAATATTATGGGGAAGTCTCGTCAAACAGTGTGTGCACGGCCTCAAAGAATCCTTCGTATATTTTCTTTAAAATGAAAAATAGCTTAATTTTATTTCGCAGGGATAAGCCCAAACCAAGACAATTAAGGTTGCCGTTTTCAAGAGAGTTTCTTTCGAATCACATCCGGCACATATCTCACTCAACAAAAAAACTATTGTGGAAACAGGTGTGAACTTAGTAACTGAAGTTGAACATGTGAAACATGGCAATGAAGTTCGTCGCACCTGTTATCGCTTTAGCGCTTCTTCTCATAGCCTTCTCGGTTGGAAAACCTCCTGAAGAAAAAAGCTTGTTGTCTCGGCGGAAAAACCCGCGCCAGCTTATGTTTGCAGAAGAAGAATCGTAGGCCTGGACGCTCAAATGGCTCGAGAAGCGGAGCATGCGCACTCATTTTTCCGCTGCGTCATTGCAGAGTGCCTGTACTAAGTCATGCGCGATGTCAAACTTTTCAAAAGCAGAAAGTAGCTGCACACGAACTGAGATCCTTTCTGTAACTACGTGACACAAACGAATGGTGAATTGCGACGTCGTATATGCATCGGTCCTCCATTTCAGTTAAATGCCAGTAGAAGTCATTGTATCGTTAAATTCACCTCCTAAATGCAGTATTTGCTTTAGGCAATAACCGACCATCATGTTAGGCTTCTCATTATCACTTTTCGTCCTTTCAAATTATTTTGAATTCATCTCAATATTTAACTTAATTTTGCTTGCCATACACTTTCGTCTCAAAAACATCCCAAAAAATCCTCGACCAATTTACAGATTATTTAATCACTGATAATGGTTGTGACCAGGTTATTAACAAGAAGTTGTATAATTATTAGAAATTTCACGCCGTTCGTGTCGTTGACATCATTCTAGGAGCCCCGGATGTGGTGGAAGTAGACGAACTGCCAGGTGAAACAACAAACGATACAATTACCTTAAAGTGGAAGGAGCCAGAAAGTAATGGAAAAGTTATTATCATGTATACAGTGTACCAAAGAGTAGTGACTGATGGAAAAGTGGGACGGTGGACAGAAATAAAGAAAATCAGAGATGTTTCTGTGAGAGAATTGAAAATAACATTGGAGAGAGGAAAGGTGTATCAGTTTGCTATTACTGCAACTAATGAGCTTGGTGAAAGCCTAAAACAAGAGGATGAAAATATCCAGCAAGTCAAGGCAGAAGGAAGTATGTTCAAACTATCATGCTCTATCATCACATTTCATCAAATGTCATGTAGTTTGGACATATCCAAATTCGACATGATACTTAATGATAGTTTTTGTTGTTTGAACGAGAGGAGGATAGTGAATGATAATTGTTAGGTCAGCAGTTTTGCCAAAACGGGCTCAAACCAAAATGGCATATAACATAATGACTAAAATAGGCATTGGAATTTCCCAGAATGTCTCGTAATTAATTCTCATCATTTCCTGGTAGGCTTCAGTATCTTCAGCTTCTAACTTCTTGACTAAAATTTCAATGCCACTGAAATTTCTGACCTCAGCTCGCATCATACTTGTGTACAATTACGCGATCTCATTGGGTGGTATTTTGTTAATTATCATTGACTATTATAAACCGTTTGAACACAAACTTGATAGTCAATGATGTGAATGAAAGTTGAAACTATCATTCAGTTGTCTATCATTAACGTTCATAATCGTTTGAACGGGGCTTAAGTCATTTGCATCTTGTCGCAGTCGAGTGAACATCTCTTGATGGAAGAGAGAATAGCGAGAAATGTATGACATGGGAATTCACTGTCTGTTGCCGCTCCTTCGTTCAGTAAAAAGGAAAGTTAAAAAGTGTTGAAGAACCTTTGGGCTCCCGTCATTCTTCTGCGACCAAATCGTTATTAGGAGGCAACTAAAGAGATTCAGAAAGAATCGAAACAGCAGTTAATCTTAAGAATCTTCAGGAACGGCAGCAATTACACTCCCAGCTGATGGCTGTGTGAATAATATCGAATTCAAAAATTATATTCCTAGACGGGACTTATTTATAATGACAGGGAATCGACCCTTGACATGCAAATATATTACAAAGAGATAGAGTCATCCACCTGGCGTAAATAGGGGGCTGGAATCTGAGGTCGCTACGTTGATCACTGTATCAGCGCTACTTTTACCACCAGAGAGGTACTTTCATCCAGCTCTAAAATAGATCTGGGAAATTTCTGAAAGCCCTTTGGCTTCTCTAGAAGTCAAAGTTAGCAGATAACAGTCTATGCATTAGTGGATGTGCTACAGACCCACGGAGTCTCATAGTTTTGTCATCCTCAAATCCATTACATGTCAAGAATACCATTCCTTATTCTCAGTGTCTTAGGCTTCATCGCCTAGACATTGACAGTTCTGATTTTCCAAGAAATCAGAGGCAATATGCCAGTTCTTCAAAAAACCGTGGCCATCCTACTTTTGTCATTCAAGGGAATCTTTAACAACGGATCGAAAGTCGGCATTCTACAAACGGCGCAGAAGGAAGAGAATGATCGTATTCCATTTTAGCGGCACAATCACGCAGTAAGACCTGTCCTTCTAACAAATTTAAATTACTTCAAAATGATCCAAAAACTGGTATATTATTTTTGCGTAAAACGGACAACTGTTTGGTCAGTCTAATGTTAAGACTGGCTCTACCAATGTCATCTATTTCATAACTTGCGGTTATTTCAAAAAGTTATACTTCGGCGAAAAGGAAGACGACTAGGGGAACGATTCTGAAGACACCATCGTGACGCAAAATACAAGAAAAACAATATCTCTCAAATTGGCCTCCCATTCCTAAATTTGATGCCAGTGTTCTTTTTAAGTAAAGGCTTTATACATGAGTTCAAATGATAATTCTTGTGCAAACAAAAAAACAAACAAACGTTCATTTTAAGTCGTATTTTGTTTTTCCCCAGTTCAAACAGTAAGCACAGAAGTTTACCTGACAGCGACAATACAGGAGAACTGTAGCAGACGTTCAGAAGTTGCTGCGAAATTTCCAGAAATGGTTAGATAATCTACTTGATCCATATACTGGAGTTTAAGGAATACTGCCATGAGATTTATCATAAAAATTGAATCTTAATCAATCTGTTCTTGAATTAAATCTTAATATTTCTGTTAAAAAAATAAGATATTCTGAACGATCTTCAATATGTGACAAGCATTTGAATGTACGTTTTTTTCTTGATATGTCGTTTTAGGCTTGTCAAATTGCCTTGAGGTTTGGCTGCTCATCCGCCAACACTGTGAACACCAGGTAAGGTACAGGTTGTTGTTTTACACTGAAACAACAAACGCAAATGCAAATTTGCGTTCTGGGAGGGGGGAGGAGCTTTATCTTAATGTGTTGTATTTTAGCGGTAAACTGGTTTTTCTGCTCCAGCAAATCCTATATAATGCGAGATAATTTACATTTGAAGTACATTTCCTTTAATGAACAGCAATATATCGGCACAGAATGACATGAATTAATTTTATTTACCTTGGTTTATTACATTGGTTAAATCTCAATGTATTTTAACACTTAAAAGTCACCAAAGTACAAATATGTGTGATGATACTCTTTGCTCACCTCCCCCCCCCCTCCTTATCTAGGTGTGGCAGTGTTGTTCTTGACTTCATGATGAGGTTCAATCAAAGTGTAGTCGTCAGCAATGTTTTGATTGTCCTGTCGGATGCTGCGAGGCAAGACAAATTCGAAGGTTTTAAAGTCAAACCAGACTCGATTAAACAAGTTTTAATACCCACAGATGGCTCGGAAAGCACAACAAAAGGTAAATTTTAGAAAGAAATTGTTAAATGTTTACACGTATTGTTCCGAAGATGGACTGTTTATAATTGTATTCCGTATCTGTTTAATTAAACAACTTATTCTGTGACTGATGCATTTCTAGGTTTTTGTTTTTGTCGTTGTTTTATTTCATTAAAAAAAATCTTAAAGTGAACGTTTTCCGGTCACGAACCTATGCTATGTGGTGAGAGCAGTGTATCGATCAGGATCAGTGTAAATGTTGTTTGAATGTTATTTCATCAAGCTTTGTAAAATGAATCTTTTTTAGGTCCTGAGGAATGTAACTGCCCATCTAACAACGTCTTGTTGGCCATAATTGGGGTTCTTGCCCTCACAGTCCTTCTTCTAATTATTTACATAATCTGGCTACATAAGAAAGGTAGGTAAAAAATCATAATCTGTAGAAGGTTTGGCTGCAAGATTCATTATTAAGCAAAAGCAAATTTTGACCCACATCCACATCACTGGTCTTTTAGTCCTTTCGTTCTTTTTCAGGCGCTGTAGGGAAACAGAGGTAAGAATTTGCTGCCAGCTGGATTGTGTCGATGTAATGTACCAGATATGGTTTCATCTTAATAAAAATTCCAATCAAAACTGATGAAATTCTTAGCGTTTCATAATTATTTCTATGCTTTCTCAATTTTAGAAATTATGAAGATGAAAGAGGTGTTTGCGACGTAAGTATCAGCTAAGACATTGAGGTCATGTTAGTGTGGTCAGAAATTATGTAATCTCACTTTACCTCTACTTTCTATAAGAAAATAAACGCTTGCAGCAAATAAGAAGGAAAAAATGTGTAGTTCTACAAAAAAAAAAGCACCGGCAGATACAATGAAATAGAGGAGGAAGTTTGACTCGATAAGGTCTTTGTCCTGGAATCATGTTTTAAGCCGCTCCATGGATTTTCCTTAGGTTGTTCTCGGCTCAACTGCGTGGCGTCACTTCATAGATCGTTAACTGGTCTGCTCCCGGTTGATATTTGCTTTTTAAACAATTGATTGACAATTGCCGTCATATTTTCTTGATGCCTCATTTTCTAAGAGCTGAGTACAGCAGGAGTTTTTTCGTGGGTTTATTTGTCAAAAATTGCACTATCAATCGACAATCTTCAAGTTGCAGTTTGTAGCTTCGGCGAATATGCTATGAGTCTCGATCACTCCACTGGACATAATAGTTTCAAAAGCAGAGAACAAAATGTTAGTAGTAAAAAATGTTAGCAATAATAGGGACAAGAGATTATAAACTTTTTTTCATCTCTTGTTTTGAAAGAATATAAACGTTTGTCAAATAAAAATGAGTAAGCTGATTTTTTATAACCAATGGTATGTTGGTTCAATAGAATGAAACAGGATTAGTAGATATCGCACCAAGTCAGCCAGATTCAAGAAAAACTCACTCAATCTCCTGCGGAATACATGGATCTCATAGAAGTCAACAAAGATGATAGAGAAGCACAAAGTACCGCTACAGGTGCTGATTACGCGCCTCTCCTTCCGTTAACACGCTGCTGGGAAGTTCCAAGACATCACGTGACCATAGAAAAAATCATTGGTAAAGGTGCTTTTGGTCAGGTTGCCAAGGGAACAGCAGTAGGACTTCCAGGGAGTCCTGAAACGACCACAGTGGCTATTAAGATGCTTAAAAGTGAGCTCTTGTACTGTATATTGAATGACAGTCTTGGCCTACAGACATTCAGGAAATGTTACCGGGTTTACGTAATTATTTAGCTATTTGTCTTTTCATAACTTATGTTGTTATTTCGACGTTATTCCCGTTAACCAAATTTTACTCCTTGTTTTTAACGCTCCAGCAAACGCTATTGAATCGGACAAGAGAGATCTGATGAAAGAACTTGACACAATGAAGCAGCTGAAACCACATCCTTACGTCATTAAACTTCTAGGATGTGTTACGGAGTCTGGTATGCTTCGGTTATGCGCGTCTAATTTTGCTGTACACATTTTGCTTATGATTAATTGAGCACAACAAACAACCATCGCATGAGGTAATTTTATCTTGTTTTAGCCAACACAGACGTTCCTGGATTTAGTAATAGACTAAGACCGAATATTTGCCACTGAACAGATCATTTTGTTGTATAAGCAGAAACGCTTTTTGTAAGGGAATAATTGGTCTGTACCTTCTTCACATAGTTTTTCTTGTTTTCATGCGATTTCTTCAAAAGTGTTGCAAATGACAGGGCTATTCATTTGTTTTAATTATTGTTTTTTTTAAGAGAGAATAATATATTAACTAAATTGTTTAATTTCTTCAGAGGAGCTGTTGGTTTTGATTGAATATGTGCCTTTTGGGGATCTGCTGGGTTACCTGAGAAAGAGCCGTGGATTAAAAGACACTTACTACAAAGACCCGGATATCAAACCGCAAACAAATCTGACGTCACAGCAGCTGATGAGGTTTTCTTGGCAAATTGCTGATGGAATGAGTTACTTGTCCGCAAAATCTGTAAGTTAGTTAAAAACACAAAAGACAAACAATTCTGAAACCTTCTTGTAAGGTCTATCGTCATGTTAAGCTCTGTCTTGCATGGAATATTATGTCTTCTCAAGATCACGCCCGGGAGTTGCAAACGTATCCTTACCGTCTTGTTGAGGCTATTTCTTTAGGGTCGAGAACCTTCCCAATTTTGAGGTCATCATATAAGTCTTATTTCAATGTGAAATAAAATATTAGGATTTTTCTCGTGTAGGCAAAGGGAGAGACGTGAATGAATAGGATCCTTTAAGATATTCAGCCTAAACTAAGTGTACAACAAATATATATTTTAGTGACAAGGAAGAAAAGTAATTAAAACTTCAAATTAAAAAATTCATCTTTTGTTGCCAAACTGCTACATTACAGAATCCTATTTCGATTAAAATCTTAAGATAAGCGTTCTTTAAAATAACTACGTATTGCAGACATAAAGTAGTTTGCTTCTCTTTGGAATATGGAGTAGATATTGTAGTAGTTTTAATTTTCTGCCATCTGAGAGAAAAAGAAATACGCACACCATATGTTGCTAGATATTTCTATTTTCCTATCCGAACCATTTCATTTCAGTTCTTTTTCTTCTGCAATCGCTAATTTTTGCTGTTGCATCAATTCTTTCCAAGATCATTCACCGAGACCTTGCGGCCCGTAATGTGTTAGTTGGACAAAAGGAAACGTGTAAAGTGACAGACTTCGGAATGGCCAGAGATGTGCAGCAGGAAAATATTTATGAACAAAAGACTAAGGTAATCAAGAAAAGGGTAGGTGAGGGCGGTATTACATATTGTTCAGTTTAGTGATCTTTCACAATCATTGTTGTTTTAATGCTGCTATATTCCTGATTTCGATCATGAATTCCTTGGGACCCTAATGAAAATATTATCCATGCGTATACGAGTACAACTTTAAATATCACTTTTTTTGACTTGTCGCTACCTATAATTCTCGAGCTGTTTCACAAAGTGGTATTTAAAATCGTTAGGGCCGTCTTCCCGTGAAGTGGACAGCTTATGAGGCCTTATTGTATGGTAAATATACCACCAAAAGTGACGTGTAAGTATACCTGATTATCAACCGTAGCAATTTATCAACAAGTTTTATCATTTTTAGTCAGGACTTGAATTCTATGCTTTGTCAAAGAATACATTTATTTCATTCGTCGTATATACTGTTTATGTCTATAGTCACTTAATTTATATTCGTTTGATTTGTCTTTCTGCAGATGGAGTTATGGAGTTTTGTTGTACGAGATTTTCACCATAGGTAACATCGAAAGGAAGTTTATGAGGCTCTTAATTAAACAATGTATCGTGTTCAGTTAGACAAACGTAATATGCTTCCCCATGCAACCTCAAACTCCATCAACTGACACAGGTGATGTTTTAGTGAAGGTCTTTTTTTCGTCACGTTTATATTTCGATGGTCTTGTGGTTCTTCCAGGCGGTTCACCTTACCCACGAATGGATGGAAGAAAAATTGCAAACTTACTCTAGGATGGATACAGGATGCCTAAACCACAACACGTCGATGAAAAATTGTAAGTTTTCTTTGTTACCTCGTTCTCTCTCATTGTACAAGGATATGCTCTTTAAATCTCAAAAAGATCACTTGAACAATGCCAGGTATCAAATCATGATGAAATGCTGGAAGAATGACCCAGATGCAAGACCAACTTTCACTGAATTGAAAAATCAGCTTAAGGACATGGAAACCCTACACAAGGTCAGAATTTTTATCAATATGAAAGTTTCTTTTCACGTAGGACCGACTGGCTTAGGCTCAGCTAATTAGGGTTAAACTTAACAGCATTGAGCCTAAATAGCGTAGTAATATGTACTCATCTTTGTAATTTTTACGAAGTTTGCATTGCATCTTTTTGTTATGACACTGAAGCTAGTACTCCACGAAAAACATCAAAGAAGTGAACAAGAATGTCTCAATGACAATTAATACTTTATGGTTATTTAAAAGATCATAGGATGATTGCAAAACTTCATTGAGACGCACAAAGAGTAGCAGATGACTACGCCATAAAATACTTCCTCCTTGAATTTGTTTTGGTGTGAAAACCTGACCGCTTGTGAGGATAACCACTTAAAACTTTTTCAATGATGCTGATTATTATATTATTTTCCTCTGCAGAAGCTAATCGACATGAAAATGTACGACAAGCAATTGTATGCAAACGTCGAGGATTTAATGGTGTAGTTAGATACACGTCTACGGTGTATGACCTACTAACATTTTGAACACTTCGCCCAGACAAGTGTCAGGGATTAATCATCGTTTCTTTACACGCTAACTTGGTAGAAATAGCCATGTTGCGTTTAGCAGTTAGGCTGGAACGTTGTAATTCAATTGACTTTATATTCCTAAACGCTAAAACGCTTTTATAAGTTTACCGATAAAGTTTACTCTCATTTTCTCTTTAACATATTAAGTACTTACATGTATGCCTCGACACAAGCGTTTGAGTTCAGTTTATTTTCTGGCTCAATTCTTAGGTGATGATGAGATCTCGCTCTAAAAGCCATAGTTGTGTACAATTTTAATAAATTACTTAAACATTTTGCCGCAAAACCCGCTTGTTTTCAGGAAAGCTAATCGTGCGCATAAATTGCTTTCCCCAAGACCGCCTTTACTTCCGATACCAACTCGAAATACTTTTATACGGAACTCTCATCAAAATTATACTTGACACATTGTTTCTGCAAGAAAGTTTGTTGTTTGGCCTCAGTAATAGGGCGATAGTTCTCGCGTACTAGATACTAATACACAACGAAACTGGTCGTAGATATGGGTGGAAGTCTTTTTTTCTTGGATACGTTGCTAATGTAATAACTTTAATTTTTTAACTCGTGAATTGCGCGCATGCGCAAGAGCGAGTTATAGGTACGATGTGGGGAATGGCATTCGCTCGCTCGATTGGTCGATTCCTGTAAACTTTTTTTAGATTTTAGGCTTTTGAGTGCATTTGATAGTTTTTGGCGAGCAATAAAAAGACGAAATGGCGACCTTTGTTGCTAAGAATAGTGGTGGGGTGAAAAAAGAAGCCAATTATAATCTTTAAAGTTTTTTTTTTTTTTTACGTTTTAGTTTCAACAAGCGGCGCCAGCGACTGGCAGGCATGCAAGGATTCACACTGAAATAACAGAACAACCTTCGTTTTTCATAAAATTGTAATTTACAATCCTTGAACTTGAAAACAATCCGAAGATTCATTGAAAATATCACTTACTGCGAAGCGCTCGGAGTTTACAGATGTTCAAAAGCTTTTTCTGTTATAGCGTGAGATTGAGGACAAAATTGATCATTACGTTTCGTCGCGTGTGTTTTTCCTGTGTGAAGCAACAAAAGATGCCGGCGACTGACGAAATAACAAGTTAACACGAAAATCAAATAACACCTAAACAAACAGTTTTAGCTACCGATTTTCAGTGAATTTTAAAAGAACAATTTTCTTTTAAGTTTCAAGACAATTTGAAGATTCAACATACATACAACGTACTAAAATGCGAAAGTTACACACCACAAAATTGGTAAATAGGCCTGAATGAAATTCTATCTTGTTATTGATTATACGTTGCCTAGCACGTGACTTAAATCTACCCAGGCGGAGATCCAAAATGACGGTGGCAGGCTTAGCTTAGTTATATCACTCAAAACTCGTTCCCGTTTGTCTCTTTTGATAAAGAGGGAATCGTTAATGTTTTCACTAAGACAGTATTGCCTTGATTTTCTAATATTTACAACGAAAGACAGTAAATCTCACTTTTCACCCACATTTACTTCCAACCTTTTCTCTTAAACCAGAAACAAAAATGATAGACGTTTAAAACACATGACATCATCCACCTTGTCAAATGTAATAGCATGATCATTTCAATTGTAATGCCTTCTTATCCCAAAGTTAATTTGTTTCTTTGCTACATTAGCGAACACTGAACTACTGCTCGTACTCTAGATATGACAATCAACCACAAAATTCCCTAAACCAGATAACATTAAACATAATCTAAAAAATCATGTGTCAATTCACGAGTTTGCTCACAGAGCACTTTGATTTTATATAATAAAAGTGTTGAAAAATTCTGAGTTGACTCTGTCTGCATTATGATGCCGTACATGAGTTCACATCTTTCTCTCCACGACATTGATCTAACATATCTAGACCATCCCTCTAGATCTCTCCTTTGAAGGAAGGACAAAACCAAACCAAAGTAACAGAGCTTCCGGAAGTGCAAAAATTGCTTGTACGTGTTTCAGGAGACTTACATCCAAGAGACCATGTTCTCCGGTCACTCTCAGTAGAGGTTAAGAGTCTATCAATCTTACATAATTATAAACTAGGTTACCTTTTGGTCAAAACCCTTCTTTCCTCAGCTGATATAAATAATTGCACTAGAAACAGTACCTAATATCAAAATAACGCTCTTTCAGCCTGGAGTAGAGGATACCTGAGGAATAGTCTTAACATTCAAATGAAGGAGAGTTTAGCGTCTGTTTGGAAATATTCCCTGACGTTAGTTTGTTTTTTGAGGCAAAATGATGCTTCAGCATACAGAGGAGAGGGGGTGAAATGGAGGGGGGAAGGGGGGTGGTATGTATAATTAATTAATTATTATAATTTATGTATAATTTTTTTGAAGGTTTTTACTGAGAAGAAAATGAGTTTTATCTTAACATTTCTGCAAATGTCGAACTGTGTCAAATTTGCCATTCTAAACGACATCACGAGTCCACCCCTAATGCAAAGATTGTCATTGGTGAGCTAAGTTGTAGTCTGTAGTGGGATAAGGTAAGTTTACTAAGGATAATTACTATACTGCTTTTAAGAGCCGCTTCTTGGGAAGAATATTACACGTTGTTTGATAAGGTGGTTGGGTTTGTAGGAGTATCATGTGTGTTCTTTCTGTTGGTTAAATCATACCTTAACAGCTGTGTTCAGCAGTTAACAATTGATATTCTCTTGCAAAATATCCAATCACAACGAGAACCCTAGAGAGGGTCTCTATCCTCTTCTCTTGCACTTCGATAGGGGTGTCACTTAACTTCTGAGATTTACGCTGCTAGTCTTGAGTCACTTAGATTGCGGTTCTCTCGAGATAGGACATAATCAACTAACAAAATAATTAGTAACCTTTGCAGCTATAAAATAGTTGGCATTCAGCTTTACAAAGAGACAGAAACTATCAAAAGGCCTTTTAGTCCAAACTGATTTAAGGCCTACTCTGATTTCGCTTTACCACTCATTATGCTTTCTGTCGAGAAAGAACGTCATAAAATTGTGGCCGATTATCGACAACAATTTCTGAGAAGAATATCAATATTTCATTTTTGATCATTCTACAAACCCAAAAGGTCAACACCAATGCCTTTTATGAAATGACTCTGCGGTTCACTTGTGTTACGTTGTCAAGTGTGCAGAAAGTTTACTTGGACATTATACATACAATATTCTTACATGTTCCTTTAATTTTCCTTTTCCTCCAACGCGAGATGCTTTCTCTGACCAGAGGTCCGGTCTGTTGGTCATCAATACCATACATTTGTCAAACACGGTGGTTTTTTCTTCCACCACATTCTTCGCTGAAACGACAGTTAGTTCTAAAATCGCAACATGAAAAGCGATGCGACTAAACGATGTCGCACTGAATTATTGGACCTCCCGCCAAACTCAAAGGATCAAACCCTTAATTTCATTGATACTGAGAGGTCGCGTTCATACTCTTCACTAAACTCAAACGGTGCTGTTTTTTATTTTTATTTTTTTCACTTTTCAAGTCATGAAAAATCGTTCTTGAATCCTCATTCTCAACAGTGTAGCACATGCTATATGACTGCCTGATATGTCATTTTTAAATCAGTATCAGCATGACTATGCATACTAACGTAAACAACGGAACAATATGTGATGTTCTGGAGGGATGTTACTAAAAGACGATAAACGATGAACGAGGAAGAAAGAACAGAGAACTCGGTCTTTGGAGTAATCTGCTGAGACGATAAATTAAGTTGTTACTGAAGCGTTTTGACTTAAAATTTGACTTCAAAAGTTTAGTTTCAAGACGATAGAAATTGCAGGTGCGCTAGAAATCGGGTATTTGCATTAATTGGAGAATCAATCGTTCCGCCATTTATCCTTTCTAAAAGCGCCTAAATGAAGTGATTTTTTAATCTGGAGAACTCAAACAAAGACAAGAACAAAAATTAAATCACTTTTGGTTCGCTTTTACATCAGGCGATGAAGTGGGAAGCCTTTGTTTTACCATAGTCTTGAACTACTGGTAATCATTGATGCATAGGCTGTGCACAAAACTATAATTTGACTATACATTTATAGCCAATACCAATCCTTACACATAATAAAATGTTAGAAGCTAGGATCAGAGAAAAAAAAATATTATGATTGTTACGTTTACCACAAGAAAACTTTCTCTGGGTTACTAATTAATTATTTCAGCTTCACCTCGTACTCTTACAAAGTGGGTCTCATTAAGACACTCGTTGATAGGGCCTACAAAATTAATAACACCTGGTTAAGATTTCACGAGGACATTAACAACCTTATTGATATTTTAAAAAAGAATCTTTTCCCAGCTCATTTAATAGAGAAGATTATAAACCGTTATATCACTGGGACCCAAAACAATCATCATCCCTGGATTCCCTTACTACCACTTCACCTACGTTCTACTTTAAGCTACCCTACATAGGCCACTTCTCTGCTATCACTGAAAAAAAAAAAATCCGCCATTTTATTAAGTGCTATTGCAATGACTTGGATATCAAACTGGTTTCTCTTCCTTTAAAATCGGTTATTTGTTTGGTGTGAAAGACCCTGTCCCTGACGGGCTCCGTTCACGTGTGGTTTATAAGTTTGTATGTGCTGGCTGTAATGCCTGTTAGGTCGGTCAAACCTGCCGGCATTTTTTCCACACGTGTTAGAGAACACTTAGTCAGTGACAGGGCCTCTCACATTTTCAAACATCTGAAAGATTCTCCTGTAGTGTTCAACAGATAATTTCCATGTTTTAGATCACGCCTCCACTAGCTTTCAGCTTGAGATAAAAGAGGCTATTCATATTCAAAGAGAACAACCATCTTTGAATCAGCAATCACACCATGTAAATCTAAAACTTTCTTTTTAATTCTTACACTTTCGTGCTTTACCTCTTTTCTTGTTGTCACTATTCGTCTTAATTAGCATTGTTGTACTTACTATATAATTCAACTTTCAACGCTTTGTACAGTAATTAACTGAAGATGACAGAAGTTTCTGTCGAAACATGTCTTTCAAACTCAAAAGTGTTGTCGCTTTCTTTAAATTAGAATTTGGTTGAAAAATTAGAAATCAGCATAGGCCAAATAATTATGATTCCTAGAAAAAGAAATGCGTACTAATGAAAATGCAAAGCAAACTTTTTTACAACACCTGCCTGTACATGTGCAGCAGGTAAACCTGTAGTTCAAGTCTTCGATGACTTCGAAATTTTGATGCACACCTCAAAAGGATACCAAATAAATTTCAAGTTTTTATTTATTCAGTTTGGGTTAAAGAGGTAGAATTAAGTCAAACATTCATACAATGACAGGTTCAGGGAATCTTCACAACTAATTCATAAGTTAGTCTACCCGGACCAATCACCTTCGTGTACAAATTAGACCAGGACCCAGTTACATGAAGAGCGGATAACGCTATCCAACAGATGAATTGCTATCCAGCGGATAAGTGATAGCAAAAGGTATAGCATTATTCATGGGATAGAGTTTTATCCAGTAGAGAGCGCTATCTAACCTTCGAACAACTGGGGCCAGGTTTGAACTGATAATGCACAAAAGAACCATCTGTGGTGAGAGGGCATGCTTTCCTTTCTTCATTTAAAGAAGTACTGAGGTTATCTTCTTTCCACAAGCTCAGTGGAAAGTGAGAGTGATTGAGACTGATATTGACTATGTTATTTGAATATATATCCAGAGGAGGCCAAAAAATAAGATATGGTCTGCACAACTCTCTTATTTTTATTTTTTAACCTTCCTGCTTTGTGCATTATGTGGATGCCAATTAAATTTACTTTCATGCATTAAAATACAAACAATGTTCTCTTCATCTATGTGCCCTAAACATTACAGGGGAGAAGGCAGGTCAAAGTAAAAACATGAATTAAAAAAGGAGGGCCCCCGTTAATTTCAGTCCGAATTAAAGGAGGATCCTTGCCTTTCCAGATTCCAACCCTTTAAAACTCCCATTTCTTGAGACCAATTCCATATATCAACGGTTAGTTTGGGTATAAGCATTGATAAGAAGCACCATGCATTAATGAAAGCTTGAGAAATAGTATTTAATGCAATCTAAATAATACTATTACATGTTACAATGTGGTAACACAGCAAAATTGTATAATCACACAATTCCAAACAAAGGAAGCCAGGTTATTGACTCACCTCCTTCAACTTTGAGTGCTTAAAGGTCCGAGGAATAGATATGACAAACAGGTACAATTTATACAAAGTTGAAAGTTTGAAAGTGAAAAGATATACATACAAACATAAGATATACATTACAATCATTCATTCAGTCATTCATTTATTAATTTTGTCTGGTAGTCAGTCAGTCAGTCAGTTGGTCAATAAGTGGTCATGCGGGAGGCACGTGCTCTAGGTATTTTCTTTTGGATCAGATCTGAAATAGGATATCAAAAACCACATATAACCCCCCTTTTTTCAGACATTCAAGCTATTGCAGTTTTCAGGCATTCAAGCTATCACATTAAAGCTATTGGAGTTCAACAGTGCTTTTATGTTTCCAATTTTTGCAAAAAAAAAAACAGCAACAACAACAAAGTGAATTACACACCTGTCTCTAAAAATCAAAATAAAGAGTAGATTTCATTTGTAGTTTTTATGAAATGCCATAATAGGAAATTTTTGGATCCCCCTTCCCCTATTGGTCTCCCCTACACGCCTGCATCCCTCCACTTAACATTCCCTCCCGTAAGCAGAGTTCATGTAAGGCGGCCCTCTGGCGTTAGACTTACCTTTATCAACACCGTAGCTGTTACACATAACAAAGCTAGTTGTTGTTTCCATTTCGTGTTCGTACAGTAGCTTCTCGGCTGATTTTACATCAGGCACAAGATAGAAATTCTTAGAGATGACATGGTTCGAAGATACACGAAGGAGCTGATACCAAAATAGAGGGAATCTTGAGGAAAATTTCTCCCTATAAAATTAATTCTTGCTATGTACTGACTGAGTTTGTGCGTCTGGATTGCGTAATTATTTCGCTTTTGATCCGCTTGACTTCCGTTTCCGGCCTTAGGAATACGGCCCCACAGAGATAGATCAGCGGAACCCGACCTTGATTATATTTATTGGCCCTTGGAAAAGAATCCACGATTGATAAACAGGAAAGAGGAGTTGAAAACTGTCTGTTACAAGTTATTTTTTATTTGCGTGACTTTAAGTTAGCTTCATACGCGCGCGTGATTGATCTCGGTGCCATCGAGTCACGCTTATTCGACACATTCGCAAGTTTCACGTATGGTTTACAATGAATTGAACATTTTGCCGAAAGGAAAGTTTCCACAATTCATGCAAATGTCCCAAGTGTATAGGTTAGATCGAGTTTTCTTCCATAAATTGCATCATCCGCCATGTTGTATAGGCAATATTACCGACTACGGCCGACAATTTCACGAGGGTGATCGTGAGACTCGGTCCCAGTCTCAATACGAAGAGGGGCCTTCTTTTTTTACTCCTTCAAGGGACTTCTGTAAGATTTAGACACAACCTTCCCCATTGAAGCATCAGCGAGGGTCTGATAAGATGGTGTTTTTCCGTGATTATGAGATTTACTTGCTCTTTCTTCTGCTGGTGAAGTTTCACGGGTCAGGTAAGTGTGAAATTTATTCTCCCGTACAAAGGATTTTACAGTGTTTTTTATCATGTGCCAGTTTAAGCTTAGAAACCGTAAACGCCGACCCTTTATTTCTGAACGTGACGTTCGTCAAAATTATTTCCGTACTCCAAAGTAGCTTTCAACAGTTTTTTTTTATTTCAAATTTAACATATGATGTTGGAATTTCAATCACATACGTGATAAATGAAGTCTGAATAACAATGATGCGATACAAATCAAGAGCAAAGGATTTAACTTAAATGATTTTCAAGTGTAACAATACCATACGATCAGAATTTGACATCAACTATGAAACTGAAAGATGCACTATTTTCTTGATTAGTTTGAGTTTAAGTTCCTGCTTTGCCAGGTGGCTCTCCATTACAAACATGATGGCCATGCAAACCCAGGAAAGAGTTGCCATCTGTACCTAAACTCTCTTCCTTGCCATCCATCATTCATTATTGGGAAGAGTTGTTTACAATTTTTCCACTCATTATTGGTTCAAAGGATGACCTCAGCGAGGATAATTGCTGCCAGCTAAGTTGAGCGTGATTTTTTCTCTAGGCAGCAATCCTGTAAAGAAACTACATAATACACTTGGATGGATAATTGAGTATTATTTGTTCAACTACCAACATGTATGATTTGTGTACTGACTTGACCAGTTTTTAGCTTTATGCTCATATGATTGTGGTATCCCACACCAGTAGTCATGCACTACTTATTTTTGTTGCATATTTAGAAAAAGGTAAAGTTTTACTAGGGCTTATAATTAATATTTGCACTGAGATTTCTCCAAACTAAATTTGAAAATAAAATTGATATGTAATAAACTGCACAAATTCTGATAAGTCAGATGGTTTTCTCACAAGGGAGAAATTAGCTGAAATTTTTGACCAGTGAAAACAGTAGTATGGGTTTTCTTTGCCTTTGTGGTGTGGCTTTTGCTAAAGTGATAGCAATGTTTGCTGGTTGCATACAACTGTAGAATCATGACTTCAGGGTTAAAAACAAGAAGTCAGCTATTGATGTAAACAAGTTAATTAATTTATGAAGATAATGTCATAGAAAGCTGGATTTTATGAAAATTTGTGAAAATCACTCTGATTTCACTTCATGCAAACTGATCACAATCTTTGTCGAAATCTTTGCTTAGATCAATTCCTGACATTCACAATCTGAGGAACTAAAGTAAAATCTCCTCCAAAATGGTACAAAAGACTTAAATTTCTAGATTCTGACTCTGATAAGAAAGCATGACAGTCCACCTTTGCCATTTCATTAGTGCTTATGTGAATGAGCAAAAATTTATGTTGAATTTATTTGAATTATTTTATAATATTGCATGACCAATCACAGGCATTGTGTGAAATTAATTTGGTGTGAAAAAAATGGCATTGCTTTTCAAGTCTTTTAAAGGGACTTGCCAAAGGGAATGAAAGTTGGCATTATGCTTTATGCTGCTTTCTGTGGATTATGAACTTCAAGGTTTACAGATGTAAATTTAGTCAACAGAATGGTGACTTCCTCAAGTAAGTTCTTAGACTAAGACTTGGATTTAATTTACAAGTTGGAGCAAAATTTTCTTAAAGTTATGGAAGCAATAAACCAATAAAGTCTATCATCCAAGTTCTTTATGCTCTTTGAAAGATGTTGAGCATGCAAACAGAAAATAATTCCATGATGATCAACTTGGCCAGGTAGGAATGCTGTTCCTAGCAGATTCTGTTATTCATGGAGATCAGTTCAACAGCTCTAATTTTATTGCTGACTTTGGTTGCTCCACTGAGAAACTGCCTGAGTTCTACAAAGAGCTCCAAGGGACTAAAAGTACTCAATTTCAATTTAGAGTATGAAACATTTTTTGAGCTTATGCAACCTAAACTTTTCCAAAAATTTTCATGTATAAAACGGAAGCATAGTGTTCTTTGAGCAGACTTTTTAATCTTCTCTCTGAGTGTTTTAACTTTCATTTTTGAAAACAGTATCTTGGATATCCTAACAACCTTAAGAACATAGAAACATGTGTGATATTAAGTAGGTATCTTCTTGGTCATTTAACTGTGATTCAAAGTTGAAAACATTTGTGATATCTCAATACTCATGTACAATTTAATACT